CCCCAGACAGAGCAGACCCTGACGGCTTTAAGTGAACACTCCAAATGAAGTCACGCCCTCGGCTTCTTAGTTCCTGCTCCCGTGCTGCCTGCACCGGCGGCCAGCCTGCTGTCCCCGCCCCCCCAGCCGCCGGCCCCCCCCCCCCCCAGCTCTGACCCCATCCTCCCCCCGCCCCCCACAGCCGCGTCATGACCTACCGGGAGCACACAGCCTGGGTGGTGAAGGCCTACCTCCAGAAGCACCCTGAGGGCCACATCATGAGCGTGAGGTAATGAGCACGGAATATTTATGAGACCTATTGCTGTAAAAACATTATTTTCTCTTTGGTATTTAAACAGCCAGGAAAGGATAGCATTTCTGGGCTCTAATTAACCTCTGCTCTGGGACTGGCCAGAAAGGTCAGGGCCGGTGGGAGGGCAGGGACACATCGGGCCTCCCGCTGGAGAGCCTCGCCCGCGGGCAGCAGGAGGCTGGCTCAGTGGCGGCCGGCAGGGTGTACACGGGAGGGGGGTGGGCACCTTCCGGCCCTTTGCTGTGGGATCACTGCATGGAGTAGTCGTCTGCCCATAAATCCATTTCTGCTGCCCAGTAAATCCCGTGCTGAGAGCAGCGAATATTTATTTGCCCGTTAAAGGGACAGCAAAATGTAATTTACTGTCACAAAGCCACCATTTCTTCAAAGAAATGCTCTCTCCCTTATTTGTAGTATAAAAACAGAACATAGCTCTTAGAACGACACCCACCAGAGACCAAGGGCAGGAAAGGTGGCCTCCAGGGGTGACATGTCGCCTCCCCGCCTCCCTGCCTTCCCACCTCCCCTCCCTCCCATCCTGTAACTGCATCCCCTGGCTGCACAAAATCTAATCTCCGGGACTAGAAATGAAACCAATAACTCACATCCTCTTCCCCCTGTTTCTTTACTTACTGCTGCTTCACTCCTTGGAGGGAGGGCCTTTTCTGGCTCTGGGGAGGAGTCCAGGGGGGTTGATGCTGGTCCCGGTTGCCGGGGCCAGTGGGGTGGGCGCCTGCCATGCCTCGGGGGCCTTACTGGGCACTCAGGCCAGCCGGCCTTGGCCTGGAGCAGCGCGTGTGCACGTGGGCCCCGGACTGCATGCGGCCAGCCCTCAGAGGCCGGCATGCCCCAGCCTCACCAGCAGTGACCCTTTCCCGGCAGTGTCAACGGGGACGTACGCTTCTTTGACCCTCGGATGCCGGAGTCTGTGAATGTCCTTCAGATCGTGAAGGGGCTCACGGCCCTTGACATCCACCCCCAGGCAAACCTGATCGCCTGGTAGGTGCCAACCCTAAGAGAAAATGAAGGGCCTTTCCTGACCCAACCGTCTCAGAGCACCCAGAGTCAGCCTCGGGTCTCCATGTAAACAACAGGTGCTACCCCCCCATGGCCTGGGAAGGAGAGCTCTTTGGAGCCACGTAATTGTGGGGCCCCTCGTGCCTGGGTGAGGGGCGGGTAGGTCAGCCCCGTGTCTGGGATGGTGCCCGTGTGAGAGGAAAGGGGGGCCACCTCTCCCTATGGACACACCTGCCACCCCCCATCGCCCCCCCCCATGCTTCACCCCTGGGCCACATTCCACCCCAGCGGAAGGCTCATGCCAGACCTTCTATGTGCAGCGGCTCCATGAACCAGTTCACGGCCGTCTACAGCGGGAATGGGGAGCTCATCAGCCACATCAAGTACTATGACGGGTTTATGGGCCAGCGCGTCGGGGCCATCAGCTGTCTGGCCTTCCACCCACACTGGGTCTGTGTCTCCCCACCCCCAGGGCGCAGGGGGGATGCAGGGGGACTCAGAGGGGCAGGGGTGTCTACAGCCAGGCCGCCCTGGGCTTCTCCCTCCCCGTGTCCAAGAATGGCACGAAACAAGATCTTGTCAGGTCCTAGGGTCTCCAAGGGTCATGGCCCCCAAGCTACCTCCAAAAACAGCACCAGATTCCCCCATCAGGCAGGGAGTCGTGGGCTGCACAGACATGAGACAGCCCCGCTTTTCCTGTCACCCCTGGCCACTGCCCTGGTGCCGCCCCTGGAGAAGCTGTGCAGTGAAGAGGGTGCTGGGGTGTCCTCGCCCAGACTGTGCTCCCCGGGGAGGGGCAGCCCGTCCCTTACGGCTGCTCCACGAGTCTGTGGGCTCCGCCAGAGGCCCCCATGCAGCACGGGGCTCTCAGCCCGGACACGTGGCACTGGGGTCCCAGACCGTCCCTGCAGGGAGCTGTGGGAGCTCCTGTGTCCCTGTGGCGGGCTGTGGGGCCTCTGCTGAGAGCCACAGCAGGGTGGGGATGAGGAAGCCGCAGGGCGCCCTCCCCACCCTCCTGCCCGCTCACCTGCCCTGCTCTCCTCTGCAGCCTCACCTGGCCGTGGGCAGCAACGACTACTACATCTCCGTGTACTCGGTGGAGAAGCGCGCCAGATAGCGGGCGCCCTCCCCGCCAGGCCTCCGTGTACATAGTGGATCCACCGCGACACCCTCAACACTGGTCCTGACCTGCTGCCGAGGGCTCCAGGAGGCCCCTCGCTGTCTGTCTGTCCGTCTGTGGCCGCTGTCACGCCCAGGAGCCCAGGGAAGGGGCCTCTGGTGGAGTCCTGCCGTGTGACAGCCCAAGGACAGTCGCAGACACCCCAGCACCCTTCCCGTCCTGTTTTGCTTCTGAGATTTTTAAAGGGGGAAACACACTCGTTCTATTTCACGAGGGACCTGAGCATTGGCTCCACAAAAGCTCTGAGACAGATGCCATCTCCCCAGGGCTCAGCCACCCTGGCGGACAGGGGAGCTCTAGGGCTCAACATAGGTCTCTGGGCCACTGCCTGGCCATGAGCCAGCCTGGGCTGCATCCCCCTGGCTGCAAGCTAGCCTGGGCTGTTTTTTCTGCGCATGCGCTCCTGGGGGCATTTCCAGGCTGGGGGCAGGGGGAGTTCAAGAGACAGAGCCGGCGCATGTAGAAGGAGACAGCCCAAGCCCCCTCGCCAACCGCCAGTCCTTGTAGGGGCCTTCATGGCCAGGGGGAGCGAGGACTGGCAGTGCCCCTCCACCACACAGCCCACCTTCCCGGCACAGGCCCCTCTCATCACAGACCCGCTAGCAGGAGGGGCCTGTGGCTTCGGACAGGTGAGGCAGGTCCTTGGCCATTCCGCCACCACCTTGGGCCACAGGGCCTGTTTCTCTCAAGTGCTGCTGTTCCCTAGGCAGGTGCAGTGACAGCCACGAGGCCTGTGGCCTCCCACATGGGTGTACACGCAGTGCGGGGCCCGTGGTCTGCACACCCGAGCCCACACGCGAGCACACAGTTGTGCGGCCCCACGGCCTCCTGGCCTGCACAGGCATCACACACGCACAGTGCAGGGACGGCTGGAGCGCCGCGGGCGTCTGTGGGTCAGCAGTGGCCCATTCTTCCCACCACTGGCTGGCTCAGCAGAAGTTTGTGTCTTGCAGCGAGTGACGCACAAAAGTTTCTTGGTGATTGCTTTGGCACGGGTCAGGGCGTCTGCATGTCGGCACACAGGTGTGCGTGTGTGTCTTCACGTGTACGTGCACGACCTCAGAGCCACGGGGACGGTTTAGCCCCAGAAAGGACAGCAGAGAATGTGCTAAGCAATTACAAACAGCGCTTGTAAAACAAAACCACAATGATGATATTCTGAAAAGCATTTTTTCCATTTTCCTTGGGAATCAAGATTCTTCAGATAGGGGAGGAGTGAGCTGGCTTAACTAATTCTGCCACTACGAGGCCATAATAGTGGGAATGTGAGTCCCGTCGTGCTGCGGCGGGTGCTCTGCCTCCGCCAGGGCCGTGTCCCCGGGGACCGGGCAGCACCGGGCTCTGCGGCCGCGGGGACGCCCGTGCGCCCCGGGAGCCGGCTCCGGGACGGGGTCCGCACGGGCTCCCAGGCTGCCGGCACCTGGCACCTGTCCGCGCCCGGCAGCTGGCCCACCGGATGGGTCGGGCGCGGCGGACTCCAGGCCGCGGAGCTGGGCGGTCTGTGCGGACACGGGACCGCCCACGCGGCGGCCGGCTGGGTCTTCCCGGGTCCGACGCGAAAATCCAATCATGGAGTTAACCGGGGCTCCACAGAGCACGCCCTGAAGGTTCGTTTATCTCTATTTATTTTACCAAATGAGAATTGCGGAGTGAAAGTGAGAGCAAACGACAACTGTTCATGACAATAAACAAGTGCAGAGGTGGTCTGTCTGCAGCCTTGTAGCTTGTGGGGGGGGGCGGGGGCGGGGCTGAGGGTGTGGTCGGGGGCGGGACGTTTGTGGGGCGGGGGCGGGGCTGGCGGGTGTGGTCGGGGGGACCGGACGTTTGTGGGGGTGCGGTCGGCGGGGCGGGGCCTCTCCTCGCGGAGGGCGTGGGCTGCCGCCCCGGTTCCTTCCGGAGGCTCCGCGGCCAAGTCCGCCTCCCCGCCCTCTCCGACCCCGCCGGCCCATGCGTCACCCCCGCGAAGCCCCGCCGCCCACCCGACGCTCTCCGGCCTCTGAAGACGCGAGTGGGTCATGAGGGGCCCCCGATCCTTCCATGGGGGTGGCTTCCTGGACGCCGCTTGCGGATAGGCTCTTGTCACCCCTGTGAAAGGAAGTGGAGGCCGGGAATTAAGTAACTCGCCCAAAGCCACGTCCACTGGGTGGGGGCACAACTGGGGTCGCGACTCGGGCATCCTCACACTGAGGCCCCTTTGAGACCTTCACTCCACCAAGGGTGGGGGTGCTGCGTGGGGCAGGGGTGTACCCCAGGTCCGGTGAATTACGCACACCAGCTCCAAAGCGAGGGGCGGGGGGAGCAATGGGGAGGTTTGGGCGCACCGGGGTGCAGCGAGAGGAGGCGCCGGGGTGCAGCGAGAGGAGGCGCCGATGCACTCAGGTCACGCGGCCGCCGTCGCAGATGGGGCTCGACGTGACTCCCAGGACGCAAGGTCACCATCGCTGCCCGCTGTGGGCCCCCCTGGGAGGGGCTGGCCGGCTTCCTGGAGAAATCACTGCCCAGTAGGCATTGGTTGGTTCTGCCAGGGTGAGAGGTTCTGGGGGCTCTGTGTGGGCCCTTGTTCTAGAAGGAATGCTCACACCCCAGCAGCACGGGCACCTGCGCCGCAGCGACGACAGGAGTGGGCTCAGGGGGCTCCGGACAGGGTCCTCAGGGACTGCAGCAAGGGGCAGTTGGGAAAGAAAACGTCCAGGCCTTGGGAATAGCACTGAGGGTCCCCCAGATTGATGACACCCCTGTGCGAGCCTCCCGTGGCTGCTGCAGCAGACCCCCATGGCCGCAAACACTCCTGGGTTCCGGAGAGGCCCAGGGGGCACTCCAATTTCCCGCCTTTCCCAGCTTCCAGGATCTGCCGCATCCCCGGTTCCAGGAGCTTCTCGTGTCTCATGACTCTGACGCTCTCTGCCCCCTCTTCCGCTTTTAAGGACCCTGGGGGACAGTCCCCCGACGTCACAGGCAGCCTCGGCCTGGCCTCAGGGCCGCCTGCAACATCCCCCTAGCCCCTGTTCCCCGGAGTCACGGCCCCCAGGGTAGGACGCGGACATCCTTAAGGGGCTTTAGTCCGCCGACCATTCCCTCGGTCTGCAAGCCTCAGGTCAAAGACCCCCATCAAGCAGAGCCCCCAAATGCAGGGGACCCTCTGCCAAGAGGAGGTGGGTGGCGGCCGGAATGGGAAGAAAAGCGTCTGTCCTGCCCTCGGTGGGGGAAAGGGGTGGAGGGGGGGCATCAGCCCCGGAGTGGCCGCGCGGGGCAGAGGCCGAACCCCCAGCGCAGCGCCTGTTCCGCTCCGGTCGCAGGTGGGGAGGGCGGCCGTCGCCATGGAAACCCGGGGCTCTGAGCGCCGCAGCTCCTGACCGGGCGACGTTTGTTTTCTGCAAGAAAGATACCCAGCCTTCCAGCGCCCGTGCTTCCGCTGAGAAAGTAATATTTTCCTGTCAACATCGGTTTTTCCGTCGCCAGGACTTGAGGGCAAACACGGTGCTCCGAAGAGTGAAAGCTGGATGCGCGGCGGGAGTTGGCCACCGGGGGGCGCCAGGGGCCCGCCAGGCGACTCGTTCCTCACCCCCCCCCCCCCCACCCCCTCAACCCGCCCAGGCCCAGGCCCGCTGCACAGCGGCGCCCCGGGGGAGGGGACGGCAGCTTCCTCGGGCAGTGGCATCTCGTGGGGTCGTCCTGCTGGGCCCCCTGGAGCCACCGCGCGGGGTAGCGGTGGCCCGAAGGTGTGTCCTGAGTCAGACTTCTGGGGAGCATCCCCTAGGCTGTCCTCATGGTAAGGGAGGTGCAGAGGCCCCTACAGCAGACCCGCGCTCACCGGGTGACCGCGGGGACATGGGGTGCACACGTGTGCAGGCACGCCTGCGTGCGCTGGTCATTCAGTCTCAGGACAGAAGGCCCGGCAGAGAGAGTGTGGGAAGAATTACGGGGGGGGGGGTGTGCAGCCCGTCCGCCTACGATTCCCACCGAGCAGGCGGGCGGCCTCCATGGACCCATTCTTCTCCGAGGTTTTAACCAGGGGCTTGACCTCAGGGCTTTACTAGGAACTGGGGCCGTCAGCTCCTTCTCCCGGAGGGGGCGGGAGACCCCCCGCCAGCCCTGCCCCCGCCTGGCAGGCGGCCCGGCCTCAGGGTTTAGGAGGGAGCTGCGGAGAGAGTTTCAGTGACTGTTGTCAGGCCCTCAGCTAATCGGTTTCGAGGCCATACTTGCGGCCTTCTCTCAGTTTCTCTCAATTTCTCCTCCTCGGCAGCGGCGGCTAGAAGAGGAAATCAACTACAGCCCCTTCGTTCCACCTGGACGGACGGGGCCTTCACCCACTCGTGAGGGGTGGGCTTCATGTCTCCGAGACAGGACCAAGGGCGAGCGCCGTGCTCCCCACCCACCTGTCCAGCCGGAACATCCTGGGTCAGGGCAGCCCCCATGGCCCCCGCCTGCCAGGCCCCCACTGGAACGAAGCCGCGGAGGGAGCCAGGGTCGCCGCGGCCACCCACCTGTACCAGTGAGCAGACTGCTCAGCCACGCGGCGTGGCACATGCAACAGGGCACAGGGGGTCGGGAGGCAGAGGCCCATCTCCGTCTCTCCCCCGCCCCCAGCACTGGGAGAGGCAGGGGGTGAGGAGGCTTCACCCAAGAGCCTCAGCCCAAGGGGCCTCCAGGGAGGGTTGGCCAGCTGGTCGGCAGCACCAGGCCTAACAGGACAGGTGGCCGAGGATGCAGACGAACCAACCCAGGCGCTGCCCACTGTGTAGAAGGAGTCTCAAAAGAGGAGCACTAAGGGGGACAAGCCACCACCGCAGAACGGAGCACTGATCCGGGTGGGCAGCAGAGCCGGTCTGGTGCTGTACCCCTCCACGTGGGAGTCAAGACTGGGGCCTCCCAGAGTGGACCCCGACTATGGTGGGAAGGGGCTGGGGGGAGACCAGTAGGAGCCAGGCCCAGAGCTTGTCCCCAGCATGCGCCGTAGTCCTGCCCCGCAGGGGAGGGTCCCTGGGGACCATGACAGCCCAGCCCCCAACACACATCATGCACTCTAAGTCCAGCTTTCTCCTAATCGGAGGGCCCAGACCAAGCCCTTCCAGCGACCCCGCTGGCTCTGAGGGAGCCCCAGCCACACACAGGACCCCGGGCGCCCCAGGGAAGGGGGCGGAGGCCTGCAACAGCTACAACCGAGGACAGAGTGGACACCATGTGTGGTTTTCTTTCTTTTTTGCTATGTACCAGAACTTTCTGGACTGGGGGAAAAGCAAATGGCGCCCCAACAAGGAGCAGCCCGAAAAGGAAATGAAGACGCCAATTCCATTTACCAAACGAGCAGAATACCTTGGAACAGATTTAACAAAGGAGGTGCAGACTTACACGCCGAGGACCACACGCGTCGCGGAAGGCAGAGCTGGCCCCAGCACACGGGCACGAAGGCCCAGTGGACATCAGTGGCAACACTCCACGGTGATCTCATCCTTATCAAAACCCCCATCGCCTTTTTGCAGAAGTGGGAAGGCCAACCCTCAAAGGCATATGAAATTGCAAGGACCCCCCCCCCCCAAATAGCCAGAAGAGTAATGAAAAAACTTGGAGGATTTGTATTTCCCTGTTTCAAAACTTAACTACAAAGCTACGGCGATCCAAACGGCGGTGCTGGGGTGAGGGTGGGCGGCCCGGCCAGGGAAGCAGGATGGAGAGCCCGGGAATGGACACGAATCGGCCAGAATCCCGAAGACGGCACGTGGCTAGTGTGGCCGGGAGGTGGAGGGGGTCCTCGTGCTCGATGCAGCGCGGCGCTAAGCCTACCGTTAGCGCGCTCCTCGGTGGCTCGCCTCCTGGACACTTACCCAGAGGAACGCACAGGCCGTACAGTGCACGCACGTTCTTGGCCGCGCTCTTCACAGCTGAAGGTGGACGCAACCCAGGCGTCCCCTGACGGACGAATAAACAAAATGTGGTCTTGCCACACAATGGAGTATTTATTCCTCAGCTCTAAAAAGCAAGTACTGACACCTGCCACAACGTGGACGGACGTGGAAAGAGGACAGACACAGAAGGCCACATACTGTATACTTCTTTTATGAAATATCCGGGGTCGGCAAATGCACAGAAACGGACAGACCAGTGGTTACTAGGAGCTGGGGGGCGGGGGGAGTGATTACTTAACGGGCATGGAGTGCTTTCCTGGGGTGATGAGAATGTTCTAGAACTACACAGGGGTAGTGGTTGCACAACGTTGTGAAGGCACTAAATGCACTGAATTGTTCACTTTAAAATACTGAGTTGTATGTGACGTGAATGTCACCTCAATAAACAAAATACCCAAAGAGAGGCCGGAGAGCGTGGCTCCGGAGCGGGGCTTTGGGCTGGTCTGGGTTTGAATCCGGGCTGTGCTTGCGGGAAACCGAAACTCTCCTAGGTCCGCGCACGTCAAGAGGGAGGGCGGAGTTGCAGGGACTCGCAGGGCCAGTAAGTCTGCGACCTGGGGACACGAAGGGCCTGGAGGCATCTCAGGGCCCTGCGACCGCTGGGGGCACGAAGCGGGCAGCCCTGGCACCAGGCCCTCGGATCACCGGTGCTAGAGGAAGCGGCACGGCGATCGGGCAGCCCTCCCACCAACAGCCACGAGGCCAGCTTGGGAGGGGCCCCAAGACCCCTGGCAGGCAGCTAGGCGGCCTCTGAGCCCCGGGTTCGGGGGCGGGTCGTGGCAGGGCAGCTGCTACCCCCGGCCGCGGAACGAAGAGCCGGGCCCAGCCGCTGACCGCAAGGCCATCGGCGCCTCAGCTGTGAGGGTCGGGATGCTGAGCCGCCACCGGGTGCTGCTGGCTCCGAGCCCCCTCTGTGGGGCTGCCGTCAGCTTTCAGCCGGGACACGGCCCCCCGGGCTTTTATGACCTGGTCTCAGATGTGCCGGGCATTCCGTGGTCACTCAGGGCAGCGCTGGCACCGTGTGGAAGGGACACCCAAGGGCGCTTCTGGCCCTCTCGGCCCTTGTAGCCCCTGCGGTGGCACAGCTGAGGGACAGCCCCGCCCAGCCCTCACCCCTGCCCTGCACGCCCCTTCTCTACTCTCCCACTCCCAGACGCTCTTCCTGGGCCTGAGACCACCGCACGTGGGCGCAGGTGGGTGCTGCCTGACCAGAGCAGCTCGGCACCCAGCCCCTGGGGCCACCCTGCAGGCAGCGGCTGCTAGGCACACGTCCGTCTGCTCCCCACGCCCCCGGCCAGGCCACCGTCACCCCCCCGCCCCCCCCCCGGCCACCGTCACCCCCCCGCCCCCCCCCCCGGAGGCCGGGGGCTCAGAGTCCAGCTCCGCATCAGGCAGGCGCCCAGTCCCTCTGTGCCGTTCCCCCGTGTGTCTCCTCACAGGGACTGGCGTGTGTCTGCCGTGGTTTGCCTCTCCTCTCAAGGGCACCTCCACCCCCCACCTGCTCTCACCGGGGCGGCCCCTTGTGGTCTCCAGGGCCATTTTCCGCCGCCACCCCCGTCCCCCTCGGGGGAGCAGCTGAGCCACCTTTACGAATCCAGGTGAGATCAGCCCCTCCCCAGGAAGGGCCAGGAGCCTCCGCCGAGCGGAGGATCAGAATCAGACGAGCCCCGGAGCCCTGTCCGCGCTCCCACACTGCCCCCTCGCTGTCCCCGTGTCTGTGCTCCTGAGACCAGATGTCATTCCCCATCAGAACAGCCCGCCATCCCGAGCCCCCACGCCTGACGCAAACCCACGGCAGCAGCCAGAGCAGGGCCTGCACGCGGCAGGCACCGACCGAGTGGATGGGCAGACGGAGGACTGAAGGAGTACATGAGCCGGGGATGCGCGGACAGAGACGACCTCGCCCGGGCGGGCGGACCCGGGGCAGCGTCCCGGCCCAGGAAGCTCTCCATCCTTCCTGCGAGGACCCCCAGGGGCCCCTGCTTGCTGGCTGCCAGGTGCTGGGGTGTGAAGGGCCGCGTGCTGACGTGCTGGGATGGGGGGCGCGGGGACACTGGGTGCAGGTGCCCAGGTCGGGGCCTCCGCGGGGAGCCGGCCACGTCCAGGCGTCCGCCCCGCCGCGTGGCCGCCAGGCTGTCCTGCAGCGCCACCGCGTGGCCGCCGCGGGGCTCGCCGCTGCCCGGCCACAGCCCGGCACAGCCGCGCGAGGCTTCCAGGAAGGAAGTGGCTGCCCTGGCGGCCCCGCACCTCTTCCTCTCTCGAGGCCCTAAAGGACCACCGTGTCTCCACACTTGCCCTGCTGCGGTTCGGTGTCACCAAACCTCTGCTGGGCCTCTCCCTGCAGCCCCAAACTCTCAGAGCTGCCTCCCTCCCCCAGCCCCCCAAGGATGCCTGCCCTGGGGGCTCCCACAGGCCATCCCCGGGACTGCTCCAGTGTCCACCGTAGCGTCCACGCAATGGGCAGGGCCAACACCTCACCTGTGTCTTCAGCGCATTTCCTGAGCTCACACCCAATCCCTGGAAATTTGCCCGGATTCTTCTGACTTCTTCCAGAATGTTCTTTGGCTCGGCCACCGTTTCTGTCAGTGCCTCCTTAGTCTGACCCCCGGGACCCCTGAAAACTCCTAACACACCGCATGGCCCCGTGTCCAAAGTGCACCTGTACCCCCGTGTCCAAAGTGCACCAGCCAGCCCCCAGCTCGGCCTCCGCCGGGGTGTCCTGGCCCGAGCCGGACCCACAGTCCCCACGCAGGCGCGTCGCGGGACCCGGGGAAGGAAATTCCCTCCGCTCAGTGCACGTGAGTGGGAGCGCCCGCCTCCCGTGGGCCCCGCCCTCCCGCCTGCGGATTGGCTCAGCTGCAAGCATGACACCAGGCTCAGCCAATCAGCCTTCCTTTCCCCCCCACGGCCACAGCCGATTGGCCCCGGGAGGGAAGCCAGTCAGAGCTCTTGTCGGGGAGCCAGGACAGGAGGATGGAGAGCAGGTGGACAGAGAAGTCCCAGGCGGCTTCCCGCGCTGGTCCCACGCAGCCAACTCCCCGGTTGTCTCAAGTGCAGCTGGTGTCATCTGCACCAGAAGGCCCGGGGTCACTCCACAGGGGCCGCCAGCACCCTACCAGGCCTCCAGCAGCCCTGCTGATGGTGGCCCCCCACAAGGGCCATGTTTTCATACCAACGTCCCCCGGGTCTGCGTGTCGTGGATTGGCCACCCCCAACGCCACCTCCCCATTGACACCTTCCCCGGAAGCTACATCGGAATTCTGGGCTACTTTCCACCCACAGGAGGATTCTCCCAGCTGGGGGCGCTTTGGCAGGTGAGACGGTGCAGCACACCCCGGGCTGGAGGCCACGGTCACTGAGCACGCACTTCACGCAAGCCGCAGAGTCTCTGTAGCCCCCAAGATCCAGTGATGGGACCCTCCACCTTCATTCCTGCCACGCTGTCAGTGGTTTAGAAGTACAGACTCTCTGTATTAAACACTTTGGGCTTGAAATGCCCAGAGAGGTGCCCCGAGCGAAGGTGGGTGATGCAGTGCTTCGTATCACAGGTCATTCCAGGAGAGAGCTTCAAAGGCAGAAATCCACAGTAGGTTACAGGAAGTGATGATCTCATTACTGCGTGGTGGGGCCTAACCCCTGGTTCCTCTGAATGTGATGTAATTTGGAAGTAGGGTCTCTACAGAGGTAATTAAGATAAAATGAGGTCACTGGGATGGGCCGTGATGCAATAGGACTGGTACCCTATGGAAAGGGAAAATCTGCACACAGACACACACACAAGGGGGCGGGTGCAGATGGCGGCAGAGACAAGCCAAGGAGGAGTGCAAAGGCTGACCCTAACCCCAACCCTAACCCAGCGGCTGGGAGAGGCCCGGAGCAGGGGCCCCCTCAGAGCCTCAGCAGGAACTCGCCCTGCCCACACCTCGACTTCCAGCCTCCAGACTGAGAGACAGTGAGATTCTGTTGTTTCGGCCGCCCGGTCTGTACCGATCTGTCACGGCAGCCCGAGCAGACTAAGGCAGCCTGTGAAAAACAGGGGATGGGTAGCTGCGGCGAGCTGTGTCGGAACACGTGTCTATGACTCGCTGGCAGCAAGTGTTTCCTGAAAGCCCGGTTCTGGGAGCCCAAGAAGCAGCTGCAAAGCAGCGTTCTGGGGGAACGGTGGGGCGGGCTGGCAATTTCTGACTTCCCCGGAGAATAAGACGTTTTTAAGATGACGAGCTTTAAGTTCTCAGTTCCAGGGTAGAACCAGAAAATCGGAAAATCTGTTGGACTACTATGAAAGATCTGGTTTCCTGTGGCAGGACCGTTGTATCCGGAAACCACTCCCCCAGCTTCATCCTGGGGCTGGCAGGATTCCCACGGACAGTGGGCTCTCCACCCCGCCAGGTCCGGACTGGAGCGCGGAGGAGTGAGGACGGAGACCCTGGGGTGGAAGGACCTTGCCCCGCCCCTGGGGCTAAGCCCGTAAAGCCTGGCCCGCCAGCACAGGGGACCCTCCTCCCTGAGACAGCCCCTGCCATGGGGACCACACTGAGGCAGTCACTCGCCTCGAGGAGGTGATTCTCCTCCAGACCCCAGCCCAAGAATACCAAGATTTTGCTGACTCACAGCAGAGAGCCACAGAGGGCCTGCCCAGGCACTCTCTCCAGACACTCGCGGCCCCACCTCTTGCTTTCACCTGCCGAGGGCCTTTCCTGGACCTCCTCCGAACTTTGCCCCTTTGTTGCTGGAAACTTGGACTTAGCGCAGCACAGCTGAGCTGCCAGAAATCCCTTGGTGTAATACATAAGGGAGACTCCAGGGGCTTAGGGAGATAAGGACATGCTGTGAATGTGTCAGGTGCAGCCCACTCACTGGGTCCCTCGCTCTGTCCCCAAAGCACCTTGACAGGGGCCCTGAGAAAGCCCATGGTGAGGACCTCACGTTCTTGAAAAGCCCTCTGTGGGCCAGGAATGACGGTGGAGGTGCTGATTTCCCCTAGGCACCCAAGGGGGCAGGCCCAGGGGTCAAGAGAGCGGGGCTGTGGGAGCAGTGGTCACGAGGGACAGTGCCGGACTCTTCGGCATTGGTCTTGGACTTGGCAGCTGGTCAGGTGCCCCTAGGCCTGAACAAGATGGACGTTGTAGGAAAGCTCGCACTGATCATTGAGAAAATAATCCAGATCGGGTGAGGAGAGATCTGACGCCAAGCACCTAACAGAGTCCGACCCCGCACCTGCCCCCAGCCCGAGCCGGTTCCAGGACTGGGGCCCGAAACACAGGGCAGAATGGGCCCCACCGTGCAGGATTCCAAGAAGTACACGCTGCAGATCCCCCGCCTGCCCAAGGTGCCTACTCCATCATTCCGGTCCACTGTTGCTGTGGAACCAGCCACCACGGTGGGTCGAGGTCAGGAATCTGCAGTTTAGGCCGAGCCCGCAGGGAAGGCGCATCCCTGCTCCCTGCGACGTCAGCTGGCGTGGCCCTGCCAACGGGGGATGGAGACCTCCCTGTCCAAGCCGGTGGCCGCGTGGCTGGCGCGGGCCGCTGCCTGCCAGTTCCTCCCCCACGCAGGCTGCGCTCCGGGCCACCAGGCTCTGCCGACTAGGTGGCTGAGTTCCAGGTGAGTGTTCCACTGGCCATGTCACCTTTATGACCCGGTCCTGGGAGTCCTGGAGCATCGCTGCTGCGGTATGTGAAGGCTGACGGGGGACTCGCTCTCTCTTTGGCCGCTCGTGATGGGGAGCCAGACCTGCAGACATTTCTCCTTCGCCAGCTAGCTTGATGGGGCTTCCTCGCCAGAGTGTGGGAGCAACGCGGCTGCCAGGGAGAGCGAGGGGCTCCCTTTGTGTCTCAGGCTGCTTCTCTCTTCCTACGGCGCACTGCCAGCGGGTCAGCAAGCGGAAGGCTCGTCAGCGAGTTTCTCCTCCACCTGTGGCTGCTTCTGGCGGACCTCCTCCAGCCTATCCTGTGCCCAGCAAGATTCTCAGCCCTGGTGGGCAGTTTCTGTGGCCACCATGTACCCCCTAGTGAGTTTCCTGGCCAAGGGGTGGGCTCTCCTGCAGACCAGCTCTGGCTCTCAGCCTCTGCAACCTTTCTTTGCCCCAGGCAGGCTGCATGGTCCCGCAGCGGCCACGCCGTCTCCAACCAAGGCTGGACCTTACCCTAGTAGGAGGCTGGGACACACTGCTGTGCGGAGTGCTCTCTCACAGGGACTCTGGTTAATCAGGGTGTCCAGAATGAAATACATGGGCAGCCACCTAGACTAGTGCCCGCCTCGTGGAACAGAAATGGAGCTCTAGGCCTTATGGCCAAAACCTGACATGAGTCGCCACCCTGAACGGCTTTCCCCTGCCTCTCGGTGCTCACGAAGTGGCCATGGCAGCTGGGATAGAGGCTAGGGGCTCAGCAACACAGACTTCCCCCAACCAAGGCCCGCCTGCCCCCAACAACTGCGGAGTGCCCAGCCGCTCAACAGCGCCGAGCCCCCGGAATAGCACCGCTCCCTGGGGGGACCAGCCAGCCACCTGACAGCAGGTTGGCTAATCAGGATGTTTCCATCATGAGGCAGTGACTTGTCCTCCCTGCATAGACACTTCCTCTGGATATGGATTTCCCTTCCCACCTACGGGGCTTTCTGCTAGAGCAGCACCCGTGTGCGCTGGAGGCCGGCCAGCACGGTGCCCACACAACACCGCTTCTGACCAAGGAGGTCATTTTGCAGAAGGAGGGAAGGCAAGGGGCTCATTCCCCGGGATTGCTCATCTCGGGCACGTATTGCCCACGAGCCACTGGGCTGTCAGGACGGTGGCCCGGCCCATTGCAGACTCCGTTACAGGATCAGCTGGGGTGACCGAACAGGGCTGGGTGCTGTCCTATGAGAGGCAGTGTGCCCTCCGAACCAGGGACTCACGGCCAGAACGCACAGGTGGAAACCAGGGTGGCAGGTGTGAGTGGCTCCCCACCCCAAAGCCCCGTGCAGGCTCTCATCCTCCAGGGCTGGAGGCTTCTGCCAGAGCACAGGGCACCAGAAGCGGAGACGGGCCATGCTGAGCAGGTCCGGGCGCTGAGCCACAGCCCAGGTGGATCCAGAGTCACCGGGGTGCAGGGCCGGGTGGACGGCCCAGGTAGCTCTCAGGAGACACCTGGGAGCCCGCAGGTTGAATATAACATCACTAAACGCAGCATTTTGTGGTCACAGCACCAGCCAGGGGGCAGTGGCTCGGGTACAAGATTTCTAACGGCCTGCGGATACTGTCCACCGGTTACCTTGCAAGGATCCCACCTAAACAGGAGGCTGGAACATTGAGTCTTCATCTGCACAGCTGGGGGACATTCTGGAGGGCACGCGAAATGCGTCATTTAGGACTGCGCAGGCCCGGCCGGCAGCGTCCTCGTGCCACGGTCGCCGAGGCCTGCAGGGGCGGATTCGAACCGGCGGACGGCCGGCAGTTCCCCCGCACGCGCTTCGCCTTCTGCGGCGCCTGGCCCCGCGCGGCCGCCGTCGGGGGCGGGGCCAGCGTACGGCGGCCGCGCGGGCGGCGAGGGGGCGCGGCGGGCGGGGCCGCGGGGCCGGGGCGCCATGGGCAACCTGTTCGGCCGCAAGAAGCCGAGCCGGGTCACCGAGCAAGACAAGGCCGTCCTGGTGAGAGCCGGGCCCCGCGGCGACGGGGGCGGCGAGCCTGGGGCAGACGGAGGGCCTGCCGCTCCGCCGGACGGGCTTCTCGCAGCCGGGCCGCGGCGCCGGACCGCGGGCGGCGGGCGGCCCGAGCCCCGAGGCGCGTCCGCTCGGGGGCTGCAGGGCGGCCCGAGGGAGGGCCGGACGGGGCCGCGGTGTCGGCGCGTCGCGCTGTGTCGTGGTCACGCCTGGCCGGCGGGCGAGCGCGCGCTCGCAGGTGGCGGGGTCCGAGCCCCACGGCCCGGGCTGGGGGGGGGGGGCCCGGCCGCGCCCCAGGGCCGGGGAGCCGCGGCGCAGCCAAGGCGCGGGGTCGAGATTCGGGGCGCGCCAGCCTCGCCTGGGTCTGCGAGCCCGTTCGGCCCCCCCTGGGGCGCCCCGGAGCCCCCCGACGGTGCTGGGCCGCCGCCACTCCACGCGGCTGTGTCCGTGGCGTTGCTCCTGCTGTTGGCAGGCTCCGGGGCGCTCCGGCCGGAAAGTGAGTTCCTGTGGACAGAATCCTCCGACAGGTTAAGTGAAATGGCATGTGCACCCCGGTCCATTTCTGTAAGGAGAAAAGTGCGCCAGGAAGGAGGTGGCCCAAAATCTGAGCAGAGTGTACCTTTGCTCGTGCTTTCTTTTCAAAATTATCTACAACAAAAATGCGTCATTTTTGTACCAAGAGAGAAACTCAAATGACAGATGGTTTTTTCACCTTGGCTTCAGAGACCCTATGTCATAAAAGGTTCTGAACTGAAGTTCCCCAGATGAAGGGGAATCGGGCATGTCTGTCCCTAGAGAAAATCTGAGCGGCGGTGGGTGCTGCGCGGGAGGAGCACTAAGCTCTGGGGAGGCGGGGGGCGCACCTGGCGCCCGCGGGAACCCCCAAGGCGATTCTCTTCTCCGAAGGACTCCCCTTTGGGTTTCTCTGGAAGGAGCCCTCTCTGCTTGCCAGGAGTTCAGTTTGCTGTGGCCCAGACTGGAACAGCGAGGTTTGCACACAATAAACCGAATTACTGCCTGATGTTTTCCTAGGCTGTAAAGCTGAGAGGCTCCAGGCCCCAGTGTGCTCTCTGTCCCGTGACCCTCCACTGTCACCTCTCGTTTTACAAAGGAGGCAGTCTGGCCCCACCTGCTTCTTTAGGCTCGTCTTCAATACTCTGTACACGCCCAGCTTGGACAGCGGCCCGAGGGGCAGGGGTGGGTGCCCAGCTCCCGGGGAGGAACGGCAGCCAGAGCTGAGAAGACTGGGCACGTAGGCTGGCCACGGTGTCTCTGGGCCATGGGGCCAGGATAGTGGGCCCCTTTCATTGCAGCAAGGAGAGTGTGTGCGGCCATCACCGGGCCTGACCCACAGCCACGCGGTGCCCTGGGGCAGGCACTAAGGAGAACGTGCTGTAGAAGGAGCCATGAATCAGGCTCCTGCAGACACGCCTACGCTGGTGGATGATTTCTCACTATACTGAGTCTTAAAGATGTATGAACCTTTTGACTTAATTAAGTTAATTAACTCAACAGTAATCAATGGTAAAGATATAAAGCTATCTATGAGAAGTGCCCTGTGCCTGCAGGTGCTCACCATAGTGTCATCTGAAATGGTGAAATTTGGAAGCAATGTGAATGGCCTAAAATAGGGCATGTGTAAATGACCCTGTGTCCTTTCTGGGACTGTACCCGGGGGTCCCAGGTGCTTGGCAAGATCACGCAAGCACTTCACCCAAATGTGCCGTCTGTTGTCAACTCAGGCACGGTGATAAGCGACAAGAGCAGGGTAGCTAAACATATCGAGAACACGTCTAAAGCCAGCAGAGTGAAGCCGGGATGGAAGGCCCCAAACCCTCGTCGTGGCTGGGTGGGATGGTGGCTCTCTGGGGCCCTTCCCTGTGTGTCTGAGCCTTTGAGGCAGTGGCAACACTCTGACCTGCTGCTCTCCTTCTCTCCCGAGCATCCACAGCCATGCTATGCAGTGATGCATTTGAGAACAGGCTCCCCACCTCAGCACTGTGGACACTGGGGCTGCCTCCCCACTGTGTGGGGCGTCCCAGGCATTGCAGGATGCTGAGCAGCACCCCTGGCCTCCACCCACTGGTACCAGGAGCATGCCCCCCCCCCAAGTGGTGACAGCCGCAAATGTCTCCAGACATTGCCCCATGTGCCCTTTGTCCCCACGGAGAACTCTGTGATAGACGGTGTGCTGCCGGGGCAGCTGTGAGGGTGCTGGGTGGCCTGCGCAGGGCCCGGGGCAGCGAGGGCACGGTGTTGACCCACGCCTGCTCTCTCGCAGCAACTGAAGCAGCAGCGGGACAAGCTGAAGCAGTACCAGAAGAGGATCACCCAGCAGCTGGAGCGGGAGCGCGAGATCGCCAGGCAGCTCCTGCGGGACGGGAAGAAGGAGTGAGTGGGGCCCAGGGCAGGCTGTGCAAAGGGGCTTCAGTCCCCTGTCGGCCTAGAGCAGGGGGTGGGGTAGGCCCAGGAGGCCGGTCCGTGCCGGGTAAGGCCAGCGAACGGGCACGGCTGGCAGGTCACCGTGCGGGTTCCCTCTGCAGACGGGCCAAGCTGCTGCTCAAGAAGAAGCGGTACCGGGAGCAGCTTCTGGACAAGACAGAAAACCAAATCACCAGCCTGGAAACGATGGTAGGCGGAGCAGGCAGTTGGGGGGAGAAGGAGGTGGGGGAGGCAGGCCCCTGACCACCTGGTCTGCTTTGGCGTCCTCCTCAGGTCCAGAGCATTGAGTTCACCCAGATTGAAATGAAGGTGGTCGAAGGGCTGCAGATTGGAAATGAGTGTCTGAAAAAGATGCACCAGGTAGGTCCTTGCAGGGCTGCAGGCAGAGAGGAAGGGGAGCTGGGTGAACGAGGGGGCGGGGCTTGTGCCCGAGGCCACACCTGTGCCCGGGCCATTGGCCAGGAGCTGTTGGTGCCAGTTGGGAATGTGGGAAAGCCAGTTGCTACCGGGAGAAGGTGATGGTATTGGTGGCGGACAAACCCAGGGTATTGACCTAAGAGTGGGGTGATGGGCACAGACTATGAATTGGGTCCACAGACGTTCAAGTGACTGGAAGAAAAGTCCCGTGAGGGTGCAGGAAGGGTGTGGTGAACTAATTGGGAGGGCTTCCTGGAGGAAGGGAACACAGCCTTGTCATAGGATGAGGCATGGAGGTGGGTAGCAAAAGGAGGGGCGAGGCCCGGAGAGGCCGTGCCCCAGCCCACTCCCATCTCCTGGTGAGTGGACAGCAGGGGCTACACAGAGCGCCACAGCCACCCAGCTTCTCTGACTTCCGTCCGTCTCTGACCACCTCTGACAGGTGCTGTACTTGCCAGGCAAGCAAAGGCAGTTCCTTGAACCCAAACGAAATTAAGTCAGCTGCCCAGAGAAAGTTTCTGACACCTTCTTACTTATTTCTAGCTGGACCTTCTAGGGTTGGTTGGGGTGCCCGGAGGTCTGGGGCGAAGGGCCAGCAGGAGTCTGAGCAGTGTAGTCGAGGCTTCTGAAAAGACGGGTCTTTTCGGAGCCCTGGAGCCTCTGTGCGTGGGCCCAGCCTGCGGCAGAAACGACCAGAACTGTGTCGTGTCCCGCATGGCCTGTCTTGTGCCCTGCCAGTCCAGGTGGCCTTACTGCAAGGGCTTCTGTCATGTGCCTCACTGACGAGACTCCCTCTGGACTGATCAGGTGATGTCCATAGAAGAAGTGGAGCGGATACTGGAGGAGACCCAGGAGGCTGTGGAGTACCAGCGGGTAGGTGTTGCCGGGTTCCAGGGCCCCCACCTTCCACCAGCCGGCAAGCACACCTACCACCTGCGTGAGTGCCCGGTGGCCGCCCTCGAGTAAGGGGGGCCTTGAGCCACGGGTTGTCTCCTTCCTCCACAAGGGGCCACTTTACCCCCTGCCCCAGCCTGGCCACAGTCCTCACCTCTGCTCTTCCGTTTGCAGCAAATAGATGAGCTGTTGGCAGGAAGCTTCACTCAGGAAGATGAAGATGCCATCCTGGAGGAGCTGAATGCAATCACTCAGGTAATAGGACCTCTCAGTACTGAGCACCATCACTCAGGTAACAGGACCTTTCAGTACTGAGCACACTCAGGTGATAGGACCCCCAGGACCGAGCACAGTCACTCAGGTGATAGAGGACCCCCAGGACTGAGCGCAGTCACTCAGGTGGTAGGACCTCTCAGTACTGAGCACACTCAGGTGATAGGACCCCCAGGACCGAGCACAGTCACTCAGGTGATAGGACCCCCCAGGACTGAGCATAATCACTCAGGTGATAGGACCTCAGTACTGAGCACAATCACTCAGGTGATAGGACCTCTCAGGACTGAGCACAGTCACTCAGGTGATAGAGGACCCCCAGGACTGAGCAT